CTGAGGGTTGCGATCCGTTGCCGGACACGGAAAAAAGACAAAAGACAAAAAAAAAACAACAAACAAACAAAATGGTTTATTATATCAGTTATACCTCAGTAAAGCTGTTGTTAAAAATCTTTATTCATGTTGTTTTGTTTAGGCATATTTTTTAACCCTTTCATGTTCTTTTTGTACATAGACCTAATGGGAAAGGAAATGTAAATTTATATTATAGATTTTGTCCTTTTCATCTTTAAATTTTTTTGTGTAAACTATATAACAAAACATAACTAATAGTTTTGCATATTTTTCTTTTTTTTTTTTGGCAGGTATGGGGATACCTTTTAAGTTTTTTTTCTTAAGCATAATCTATATCCACATTAAAATGATGCTGCCTCAGTAGTTTTCCAAATATGACTTGCCATTTGATAAACATAGGCTTAATTTCTATGTGGCTCCAAATGTTAAGCTTTGAACTCATCATTACAGTGTTTACTTTTTTAAAGAGATGAGGGGAAAGAAATAAATTGTTTTTAATGTGTCTACAGGCAACACCAACATTGCTTAGAAGATTTGGATCTCAGCTTATCAAGTCAACTGTTTTATCAGCCAGTACTTCTCTTCGAGTATTAGCCCTTGGTGGCGAAGCATTTCCGTCATTGACTATTCTCAAAAGCTGGAGAGGAGAAGGCAATAAAACACAAATATTTAATGTGTATGGTATCACAGAAGTATCAAGTTGGGCAACCTTTTACAGGATTCCAGAGAAGATTCTTAACTCTACTTTGAAGTAAGGGTTTTAATTATACTAAATAGACAGGAAAGAGGCTATATTTTTCCAGGATCTTAACGCTGACTATTCGTGATAGGTACTGGGGTAATAATTTTAGAAACACTATTTTATCTAGTATTTTAAGTTGGTAATTTGGAATCTTATTATAACTGGTGCTGAGATCTTGCTAGACCTTTTTGTGACTAAAAATTATATAACAACCTTTCCACTTAATCTTTTCCTCTTGTCAGTCTTTGAATTATAGCATAACAAACTTTTTTTCTTTATTTGGTACAGTGTGATTTAAATACATTGGGAAATATTCTATTCAAATCAAAAATTTTAAAACTGCTTTGGGTTGTGTTTTTTATAGATGTGAATTGCCCGTACAGCTGGGATTTCCTCTGCTTGGAACAGTAGTTGAAGTCAGAGACACTAATGGTTTCATAATTCAAGAAGGCAACGGCCAAGTATTTTTAGGTTATTTTATATATATTTTAGGTTATTTTATATATAAAATGGGGAATAATTTTTTTTTCAAGAAACAATATCTGGGGCTGGCCCGGTGGCGCACTGTAGCAGTGCGCCGCTTGGGAGCGCGGCGGCACTCCCGCCAAGGGTTCGGATCCCACATACGGACCGGTTCCCACTCACTGGCTGAGCGAGGAGCGGGAGCAACACTGAGGGTTGCAATCCCGTTGCCGGTCCCCGTCCGGTGCGGGCGTGACACTGAGGGTTGCGATCTGTTGCCGGTCACGAAAAAAGACCAAAAAAAAGGAAAAAAAAAAAAGAAACAATATCTGATGTGTTAATTTTATTTTTTTCCTGTGATGATAATTTTTAATCTATTTCTCAGTCATGAAACATTTAATAAGTTACTACAATTATTTCAGATAGTAATGTCTAATATTCTTATAAAAGTAATTTAGAAACTGTAACATATTTAGAACCAAAATTATATTTAATTGGTATTCTATGAATTTTTTTAAATCACGTATATTTTAGAAATAAATTATTTTTTTTCTTAGCTTATCCACTGCGGTTATTGGGTCTGATTTTATCAGATAACGTTTAAAAGTGAGTCCCCTTTTAATATAAAATTCAAATTTC